AGCACTGTTACTTTTCAAGTTTTCTGTTGCGATAAAAAGTCTTTGCAATGGGTTTATTTTAGGGTTTCCAACACATAAAATATGCCGCCCTGGTGTATTTCGACCGCCCGCCAACGTATAGGCTGACCACTATTACCGTCTACAATCAATAAACTTGTGGACGATCTGCAGTCACTTTATACCTGTTGCATAGGTGCGTCTGTGTGCTCTGCAGGTGATCAGAGAGAGAGAGAGAGAGAGAGAGAGAGAGACATCCACTATTCAGTTGACAATTTTTTTTTGGTCGTACTCTTATCTAGCTTGGATCTATTGAGTTGTATTTATATCAAATTTGTTTTCCCCTCTACATTAATCAAGTTTAACAGATATTAACAGATATGTAGGCCTACATTGACAGATATTCTGGGGGGGGGGCCCTGCTAATATAATAGTTAGGGAAACACTGCTGTTATTTATTGGAGTTCAGCACACAATCTGCAGCAGGCAGCTGTACATTAACATTTTTAAAACGGAGCCAGGAGAAGCTTCAGTTTTGAAGCCTGCGGATTGCGCGCCTGCGCTCTCTCGCTCTCTCAGGCACGCAGCAATTTTATGAATAAATGAAAAATTAAATAAGAACAGGTCGGGAATATACTTGGGCCCAGGTATCGTCTTTGTGTGGGAAACAGTGGAGACTAAATATTTCCAAACAGGTTGTTGGTATAAAGTTGTCATTTTTATTGTTCTGCACTTTTGTGTGTGCCAGTTCTAGCACTAGCCCTTAGTAGGCCTACAGTGTGGCTGCCAGCAGTCAATAATAAATAATATCCTTTTTATGAATGAATTTGCCTCTTGCATGAAATGTGTGTAGAAATAGGCCTACAGTATATTATAAAGGGTTATGGTGGTACTTGGAGAGCCAAATATTTTCGGAGGTGGTACACAGTCTAAAAAGTTTGAGAACCACTGATTTAGACCACAGGGGACTGTTTGAAACGGGGGAAAAGCAGGCAAAGATACAGGTGCAGACACCTCGGCCTTTTCCTCAGGCAGAGTGAAGCAAACTGAGACCATTTTACACAAACTCAGTATTTCTTTCACCTCATGATTAGTTGTCCTCCACGTTTGGTCACTGATCCACCCTGGGCTTTTATAAAAATCAGTGCTTGAGGCTGATCGTTTTTTTTATTTGTCCTGGCCGAGTTGTCCTGAGAACAAACAGACACGTCAGGTCTCACAATGAGTTTAATGTGACCTCCCGCTGCCACTCCTCCTGCTGCGGCCCAATAGGCTCGGCTCAGCCCTCGCCTTGTGTACATTGGTAGAGTCAACTGGTGGGACGGAGCCAGAGCACTATGACTTGATCCCAGACTTCAGCCTGCACACCAGTTACTTTCTCACGCCTGAGCTGCTTTCTCTCTTTTATCGTGGACGGTAAGGTCCGTTTTTATTTTTGAACCTAGTTCTGTTTCATTCCTTCTTTTCATCAGTGTGCAGCGTGCTGTGTATGATGGATTATCCCGGGGGTGTTCTTGAGTTCCTGTAGGCTGCGGTACATGTGAGAGGCAGTGTTCATGTGTAGTATGTTTCAGACACTGAATGGGGGCTATATTTGGCCACTTTCGCTCTGCTTTCGCTGGGATGCTTTTAGAACACAGTCTGGAGGATTTGTTCATGAAGCGAGGCATGCTGAAGACTCACACTACTGTTATGTTTTTACTAAAACAGGAACAGGGAATTATACCCGTCAGTCAACACATCAACTGTTTGACAACCAGTCAACCAGTCAACCATCTCCATGTTTTTTTTCTTCTCCCGAAAAATGTCCATGTTATTGTTTACAGTTTGTCCAAGAGGAGGATTTATTTTTGCTTCAGTTTAAAGACGGTGTAAATTTATTTTCTTTGGATTTTGGATCATAATGTTACCAGTTTACTTTGGAGCATTGGACATTTGCATTGAATTCTGTATTTTTTCTTCATAAGAAATGATGTCCCACTCCTCTTCAAACATGTACTTAAAAGCGCAGGTTGTCTTACAGGTTGCACGATTCTTTAGTCCGTTTGTTTGTTTTTGTCATTGAAAAAAAATCACATGTTTGAAATAAAGCCTTCAATCAACCAATGATATTAAGAGTAGATCCAGTAGGCCTACCAGTATAATGAATACATGATAGAATACAGTATGGTCTAGACCTGCTCTTTTTGTCAAGTGTCTTCAGATACCATTGGCTTTAAATTGGTGCTATTCAAATTAAGATTCATTGACTGATGGATTGAATGTCTCTGATACACATGGTGCTGTATTGGTATTTCATTTAAGCCGCTCTATATGTACTGATCCAATGCTTCAGATTTTAAGGCTGTTTCATCAAATCTCTACTAATTGTTTGTTAAAAAAAAGAAAACTCTGGTTATTGATCTTGTGACCACCACCACAGCTGACAACAACGGTGTGGCCAGTCGAGTGTAACGGTGGAAACTTCCACTTGTGAAACGACCATGTGTCTTGTTTGTGCGGCTTCAGTTTCAAGAGGTAGAGGAAGAGTAACCAGAAAGGATGAGCAGTCGGCCCTCAGCGGGTGAGAACCAACAAGTTGAGGTATTAGGGGTGTTGTCAGGAGGAATAATAGACGGTGCTGGAACATCTGTGGGGGCATCAGCTTCATATGACCCCATGACTCTGTGACAGGTAACTGCGGTCATTTTCAGCTTGAGATTTGGTTTTGAGAATACTTTAAGTTAACGCTCTGTAGACTCGTTTGACTCCCCCCCGTCCTGTCAACCTGAACAGTATAACTGTAAGCTCAGCTATGTCTGTTCTATCAGAAGTCTCTCTCTGCATTTATAACAAAAGTGCTTTGAGATGTCAAAGTGCAGCGACATTACACACGCCTGAATGCTCCACAACCTAAACACCAAAACATGTTTCTGAGCTGCTTCCCCTCCTGAGCCTCTGCTGCTGCTGTATCAGCACCGTCTCTCTCTCTCTGTTTGCTTTCTGCAGCATATCAGCGCCAAAGAAGTTATGTAAGCAGACAAGTTTTGAGTGTTTACTAAAGCTGAAACAACAATTTGATTACCAAGTTAGTTTTCAAGAGAAAATGGATCCCAATTTAACGGATAAACTTTTCTGAAGTTGAAACCATCGTATACAGTTTCTCAAGTACGAAGATTTGCTGCTATTCTCCGTTTTTAAATCACTCTACACTCCATAGGACTCCGGTTTATTGACCCTGTAAAGCCTAAACCATCAAATCGTTATCAGAAAATTCTCTGAAATGTTTGGTTTTAGATCATATTTGATACATGAGTGTTTATTTTTTTCAATTCGCTGGGAAAAAAATGGCAACTGGAAATTCAAATGTCTCACTCCTCCCTGTGAGACTCATTTCTTTTCATTTTGAATCTTCTTGACTGCTCTTGTTCCATCTTCGTGGTAATTCTCATTTGCTCTCTACAATTGTACTCAGAAACCAAAATAATTTTGTATTTTTATAATTTCTTACTTGGTCAGTTTGAGTGAATTGGGAACAGAAAATAATGAGCAAGTGACCCCATGTAAACATCCAATGACTCCAATGTAAGTTACGACATATTGCATATAAAAAACACAATATGGGCCTCAAATGTTCCAGTTTCCACTCCTAATATATCCCACGTTAATCCTTTCATGAGTTCACTTTAATAAGCAAAAGAGAAGCATTGCTCAATGGAATGCCTGGTGCACACATTTCGACCTTTAACACCTGCTGTGTCGAATATGAAACACATTTTAATACCAGAGTCAGAATCTTTGTTGGCCAGGTGTGCTCACACACACGAGGAATCTGACTTTGGTGATCTGAGCTCTCTATGTACAAAAAGTATGACATTAGATATCCACAATAAAGACAAAATAAACAAAGAGTCATATGAAGAAGACTGAATGAGACGTCAGTTCAGTGGTGAGCAGTGCAAACACGCTGCGATAATCATGACAGTAGAAGACGTAATAGAAAGTGATTGGTTAATTCACATGAGGTAAAGAGTTTTTAAATAAGAAAAAAATATCCGTGATATCAATTTAAATTATTTTTCTTTCTTTCTCTTTTTCAGAAATTGGTGAAAATATCCCAATCAAATCAGATTTGTTTCAGCATTGTTACTGTCCTGTACACGGGTCATATGAGGAATGATTTCCGCCCATGGTAAAGCGAAGTGCACAGGACATTCATCTACATTCATCTGGTTCTAATCATCAGGGTTTTTAGGAAGGATAAGGATGAAGTGGTATCAGAAAGTTATGTATAAAATATGATTCATTTAGCTTCATCATAGTTTGGCCTGGAAATAAAGAAGCCTGTTACTTTATTCAAAATCTAAATGAGATTGCTAGAATTGAATATCTACGTCTACCAACACACTGTTTATGTTTGAAACTCAAATGAATCATGGGTAAAATGTTACTGGGAGGGAACAGGAAGTTAAGAGTCTGAAATGATCCCGTTAGAGGTTGAAGTCTGAAGATTTCAAACATTCCATATACATGTCAGTCAAACCGGAGTGTTTTCTTTCTTTCTCTTTCTTCTGAGTCCAGGCTGTTTTTGAGTCTTCGGTCCCGGCCTGGCCCTCGTACAGCAGCAGTCACTGGGCGGTCGAATCCTTCCCCTAACAGTTAATCTCTTTGCACAAAAGGCCACTTTGTTATGGCAGCTGCTTTGCTACAAAATGCAAATCTGTTACTACATGTTTTCTAGATTCTTCCTCTGCATCGTCTCCTGTTAATTCCTTAGTTGCATTTCTATACATGACTTTACTGAACTTCCAGAGTGCTGACTATTGGTTATATGTATACAGTGTATAGATGCTTTTTATCTTAAAGAAGGTCACGTACAGAGACAGAGGAATTGTTTTGAACTTGGCAAAGGGGACAAGTAACTAAACCAAGTGTTGCCTTGCTCCCCCACCTTCCCCTCTCTCCCCCTCCTCTCCTCCCTCCACCCCCTTTTTTTTTCTGTCTGTCACATGTCCTTTTCACAGCATAGAAAAGTTTCTGGATTAGGGCAGAATTAACACAAAGCAGCGACGCCACTCCAGCTACACTCGCAAAAACAACGCAGGAGGAGCAGCACGAGGGGGGACCGGGACACTCGAGCGAACGCCACCTCAGAAAACTTCAGACTGTGACAGCCAGAGGCGGACGAGTCCATCCAGCGAGAGAGAGAGAGAGAGAGAGAGAGAGAGAGAGAGTGGGGCAGAGAGGCAGGGGATCTTTGCCGACAAGGTCCAGAAGGATGGAAGAGAAGCAGTTTGCCGGGATCCTGGTAAGTTTGACTTTAGTTCAGTGAACACACACACAGGCGCACTTAACAAACAGGGACACCACACATGGGTGGTCGCGGGTGAGATGCAACTGCTGGACCTCCACTCTCTGTGTCCCTATCTTCACCTTTTACTCTGCTTCTACGGTTGTTGTTGTTTTTTGTTTTTTTTAAATACTCTGAAACAGAAGTTGGTGCTTAAATTGTTGTTCTTCAGTTTCTCTGAACAACCTGGAGACATTTAATCTTTTCATCTGACCTCAAGTTTGACCCACCTTACCCAATGTCTTGTTTATCTTTGACCCATCACAGATACATGTGTTTGCACTGATAACCTGCAGATTGCCCTGTGGTTTAAGATCACTTTGATGGTGTTTGAGTGCAGCAGACCGAGCTGTCATCACCTGCTGCTCCACATGGCAACAGTAAACACTCTTAACCATAGAAACTTCTCTCCCACCCCTCGTCTCTGCTCTCACAGAGATCTGGTAATCTGAAACAATAAACGTGTTTTCAGATTTTTTAGGCTGCCGATAAGAGAGAAAGCCAAGAGGTAAAGGATACAGTGCCAGGCCTGTGCTGTTAGTGAAGCTTTAAATAGAGATTTGGCGTCATTGGCAGTCAGGTCACTTCTCTCTCTCTCTCTCTCTCTCTCTCTCTCTCTCTCTCAGTCTGTCTTGAGTCGGCGATAAACACAAACTCAGAGCTCCAACTCTCCTGACATTCTCGCTCATTTGAAGCCTTGCTTTCCTCCCCGATGTTTTTTTTCTTTCTCCCTCTGCTGTGTCCTTTTCAGATGCATATCCACATTAAAATGAGAGTGCAGTGTCTGAAGTGAAGGAGGAGGGGGGGGGCGTTATCAGCCTCTCCTGCTCTCCCCTGTCACTCTCACACAACATTTGAAGGTGGTTGAAGGTTGAGATTTAATTCTTTTTTTTGGAACTTTTTTGTGTGTTTGTCTGCGTTTTCAGCTCAGTGACTCATTGCTGATCAATCTGCAAAGAAAGGCTCTGCTAGAAAGTTGCTTAAGAAGTTATGTAGGTTTTAATTAGTTTAGGTTATCCATGTGATTTAAATGTAATTATCCAGAGGGATTTGTATTTTTCTGAATGTAAGGGCGGCAGTGGGCGTCTCTTAAGGGGCAGGTTGGGGATTTGATCCCCAGCTCCTGCAGCGTGTAAATGTGTGTGATGGAACAGTCCTGATAGGCAGTTGGACTCTTTACAGAGCAGCCTCTGCCATCAGTGTATGAATGAGGTGTGAACAGACAAATGTGACATGTAGTGTAAAAGCGCTATACAAGTCAGTTTAACATATTCTCCAGTTTCTCTCCGGTAACCATGGCGTTATAACCTTTTTGTTGGCCCTCCCACACTCAGAGCTGCCAGTTAAACTGTGGAGGTTACATCTATAGAGACTGTAATGACTCATCAAGGCCACCAGGGGCATTTAAGCTAACAATGGCTGAATGCATGTGATGCAAGCGGCAACCTCCGGTGTTAAAAAGTAAAGACAGTTCGGAAGTGCAAAATCCTGAGGCAGGCTCAGGGAGGCCTGAAGTCACATACACACCCCATTTAAAAAAGTTTTTACAGCAGAAATTAACATGTTTACAGCCTGGTAAAAAAAACAAAATAGGTCTGATTAGTTATTGTCCTCATGGGTACGTACTGTACAGGGGGTGAATTTCTTTTTTTAAAGCATCTGTTTTGATTTAATTAACAATACGTGTTATTCATAGTTCGGCGCAGCTGACCTGATTGACAGGTGGGTGCGATGTAATGGTTCGTCAGGAGGCTTCAAACCTGCCTCAGCTCCAGCTTTCAGCCTGTCTTTAGGTTGACTGAAAGTTAGACTGAGACAGGATTTCCAGCATGGTGGCTGCTCCCTGTAGTAACAGATGGCTGACGTCACTCAGCCTCCACTAATTAATCCTCCATTAATATTTACAGTCTATGGTCTACTGAAGTATTCAAGAGATATTGTGTGTTTTCATGAGTTATCTGCATGTGATGGCACCATTTCAGGGATGCATTATGAGAAAAAAAAAAAAAGAACAAAGGGCAGATTATAGATCAATATCACATTAAGTGAAGCTAATTTGAGTCAAGTTTTATACTTCAGTTTAAAGCTGAAAATGAGCGATCAGTCGGTTAGAAAGAGACTCAAGTGTTGGAAAACAGTCATAACTTGGGCTGCCCCAACAAAGAGACAACTACAAACAGCAAATGAAAAGCTCTATAGTTGACACATCTCAGAACTTTTCTTCATTTTAGCTGTATTGATGGACACAAGAGAAATCTCTCAGAGCAGGTCTCTAAGTTACCATTTAATTCCTATTTAGGTTTTTTGACAGGAATTTTCCTGGAAGTTCTCCGTATCTCCAAAACAAACGACCCTGTTGATTTAAACTCTTTAAACTCTGCAGTTTATCTTTCAAGTTCAGCGTTTCTTTGATGCTTTTCTGGACACAAGCCATAGGCAGGGGCTGCAAGGTTAGCAGCCGTTGGCTCATTTGTAGATGCTTACCTTTTTATAAGGTAAAGATTCCTTCACTATTTATCGTTCACAACTATTCACAGAGGTCTCCTCTTCTCCAAATCCCAAATCAGACATAATCATTCAAACTGGTAGTGCACCAAATAAAAGTGTTTCAAGTTAAAAATCATTGTCTTGACCTTCAGCTGTTGCTGTGGACTTAAACCTCCACCTTGTTTACAGTTAAAAAACTACAATAACATGACTTAACATAGAAAAAAGACCCTTAAGGACAACTCTTAATCTTACACGTGTAAGATAAGATAAGATAAGACAAGATAAGATTATCCTTTATTTATCCCACAACGGGGAAATTGACAGCGTTGCAGCACCAAAGAGCAAAGATTGCAAACAAAAAGTGAACCACAGTCCCAGTTTAAATAAAAAAGAGAAATTAAAAATGTACAAAAAAATCGATGGATACCACAATATAGATTTTTAAAAATAGATCAGCTGAGAGCTGCAGTTGATGGCAAATGATAGCTTTGCCATCATCCTTCTGTCTCCCACCACCTCAACAGGGTCCAGGAGGCAGCCCAGGACAGAGCTGGCCTTCTTCACCAGTTTGTTCAGTCTGTTCCTGTCTGCAGCCGTAGTGCTGCTGCTCCAGCAGACCACTGTACAGGATGACTGATGCCACCATAGAGTCATAAAAAGTCCTCAGGAGTCCACCAAAGGACCTGAGTCTCCTCAGTAGATGAAGTCTGCTCTGGCCTTTCTTATTTGGAGCTTGAGTGTTATCAGTCCAGTCCAGCTTATTGTTCAGATGAACACTCAGGTACTTATAAGAGTCCACTATCTCAATGTCCTTTCCCTGGATGTTCACCGGTGTGGTAGAGGTGGGTCTGCGCCTGCGGAAGTCCACCACCAGCTCTTTGGTTTTACCCGCGTTGATCTGGAGGCAGTTCCGCTGGCACCAGTCCACAAAGTCCAGGTTGAGTTCTCTGTACTCCCCCTCGTCCCCATCAGTGATGAGGCCGACAATGGCAGAGTCATCAGAGAACTTCTGCAGGTGACAGTTAGGTGTTTTTGTTCAGTTTCAGTTTGGTAACACTCGAGACTCAGAGCTGCAGAGGTGCAGTTTTGTTTGGTGCTAAACTGGAACTTGAAAAAGGATACAAATCAAAGTAAAAGGACTAAATGGGAAGTGCACTACTAATATCCACAGTTAGTAAATCAGCCCACCATCTTTGGACAAGAGCCTCGTCTTATCAAGACTCATTTTCAGATTTTGGCTCAAGCAGTCACAGCTGGCGACTCTGCTTGCTCATGAAATTGGAAAGTTTTGTTCCCAGGCCAACATGTCTCCATGTCCAAGGTCAACGCAGTAGATTTGGCAGGGAATTCAAAACTGAACAGACACCTGGGTGAAGACATGTGACCTTACCTTATTGAATTCTAAAAAAGAAAAAAAAAACAGGCAAACATTTAAACTATATTTATGTGTGTATGAGCACCTTCTGAAGAGGAATAAGTTCTTTCATAGGCGTAGCACTGTGTGTTACGTTGTCTGTAATAGGGCTGTTTTCATTCTTTGTTTATTAAAGAATAATGAAACGATAAAACACATTTTTGAGTCAGTTTGTTCTAAACCAATACAAATAATGCACACATAATTATCAAATATCAGAAGGTACTGTGATGAGTTATCTGGCCATTACTGTCATCTGTGTGTGTTATTCATCGATATCAAAGCATATTGATTAATATCGAATCGAATCGTGACCCAAATTGAAATGGAATTGAATTGTGAGGTTGTGGACAATAACCCAGCTCCGTAATGTCTCTTTTTCTCTCTTATTAACGTCAAGTCAATTGCGGAGAAACTACTCTTTGACACGAACACGAGCAAGAGACTGAGACCTTCTGGTTTATCGACAGCACATGCTAATCTAGTTTGCTAAAGTTGTCGGCACATACATACTACGGTATGCAGGTGCATCATCCACCGCTGTCTGTACGCCTCTGTTCAGCTCCTGATGTGAGAAACATCAGGACCTAGAACATCAAAAGAAGATAGCGTTCAGTTTACACACACTTCGTCTTTTTCAATGGTCTCTTATGTGTACAGATGTTTAACTGCCTGGAGACGTTAAGTTGCATCCCTATTGTGGACTGTTTCGTTTTTTTGAAATCAAATTTCTCCGAACAATTATCAGTTACTCATTCTCATAGAAAAACTAGGTCAGAGGTTATGTGTGTTGTAGACATACATGTGTTATCTATGAAGGTCAACATGGTGCAGAGCAGCGGGGAGATTAACCAACCATGACTGTGGTCAACTGCTCACTCACACACACTTAAACACTACTGCCGCTTAATGCGCTGTGATGAATGTCTTCAATCGGGCTAAACAGTGGTGTCAGTCATCGCTTGGAGACGTCATTGAAGAATGAAAGAAAGTGTGGTTGTGTTTATGGGCTGAATCCAAGAGCTCGGTCTCCCATCGCCAACTGTCACTTCAA